CGCTCTCGCAATCTCCCTCTCAGTCTCTCTTAATCTCAATCTCTTCTCCCTCTCTCTCTATCCCTCCCTCCTCTCTCTCTCCCTCTCTCTGCCTCCTCTCCCTCTCTCTCCCTCGTATCTTCCCCTCCCCCTCCTCTCCCTCCTTTTTCTTTCTTTTCTCAGTGTTAAACAAAACTAAAGTCAGTAATAATATTATGTAAAGTTAAGTTTTCAGCTGGCAAAAAAATACAAATATTCTCGTTTTAAGTGAACAAAGGAATGTATCTTTTTAATTTATATATCACATGTTCAATTTCTTCATTTATAGTACACTTTAATATAAAATGAAATTAATACTCATTGTATTTGTCGTTACTTTCTTTATTTTCAGTTTTATTAATAGAGGGTTAAAGTAAGCGATATGTATTCAATGCAGCAGCGTATTTTATGGTTTAAGTAAGCGGCATGTAATTTATGGACGGCCCGAAAGAAGGTGGGAGGGTGAAAGTGCTACTGATGTTCTTAATGTTAAATTACTAAAAACTCTCGCTTGGAAATAAAGAAAACACAAGTATTCTATGTTTGAGTCTTTGAGTCGTCTCCGATAAATTAGCTCCATACCACACAATGTCCACAAAACAGAAAATATTTCATTACCTTCACGCACCCAACTTAAATCAATTTTTTAAAATAAAATTAATTTACGCTGAATCTGAGGCTTTGCTACGTATTTTGTAGAGGTGTCCAACTTGCAAGGCCTCAGACGCCACAAGTTGAGGACGAGGTTGGGACCTTCGGTCCAGGCTATGATCTAAACACATTCTCGAGTCTATGCAATCCATTTTATACTAAAATGCTTTTAAGATAACTCACCTGATAAATCTGTTGGAGGGTAAATAGTCGCACTGATATCTTTAATTAAATCCTGTAAACTTTGTCACTTTGAAATCCAAATACATCCATCTCACTATTCGTTGCATTTTACTACATAAACACCCATTTAAATTTTTCATAACGCTACAAAATGAACTTACTCTGAGCACGACAAAAATAACACTACCCCGCCGCGCAACTCCGACTCAAAACCTCCAACTCCCCCTCTCCCCCCCTCTATCAGGGGTTTCACCTTCGCCCGAGCGGTGGGGAGTGTCCAAAAGCCGATTTCGTGAGTTGCACCGAGGTCTCTGCGGCTTCAACCTTGCCCTGCACTTCCTGCCTCACAGGCTTAATGAGGACATAGAGCAGCTACGCCCTCTCCGAAACTGATTCTCTAGGTTGTGCGAAGAGGTTATCGCGAGCTGGCGAGAGGAAATTGTGTACCTGTCAGGGTGGGTCCACTATTTACCCACACGAGAGCTAATGAAATTGTAGTATATGTAATTACGGATAACTCACAAATTACATATAACTCACTAGTTTAATAAATCACTTTATTTTTAAACGTGACTAGTGTGACTTTAATCGCAATTTTCACTGTGTTAAAATGTGTCGTTATTCCTCTCGGGATTAAAGTGGCTAAAACTTTAATCTCTCCGGGATTAAACTAACCACATCCACCAGCAACGCCCATTATCATTACATTCGGAGAAATAAATAGAGTTTTGATACCGTAAGTCTAAGACAGGGGTGTCCAACTTGCAAGGTCTCAGAGGCCACAACTAAAAACTTTAGAGCGCGTTCCCACGCCGCCACGGCAGCGCGCGGCCGTCAAGCGGCGGGGCTCTTCGCCGACCCTCCGGCGACGTCGAACAAAGGGACCGGCGGCCGCAGTGGGAAGTCTACCATTGAAAGCTGTGTTCTGCTAGCGGTGGCGCCTACCCCCTCCTCCGTTTCGCGTAGCGAGTCTTGACGGAAGCGCGCTGCCGTCGCGACGTGGGAAGGCGCTCTTAACATGGCCGCGGGCTATATTTTCATCCCTCCACAACCCACTTCCCCGTATTGTTATTCTCGGAGTTTGCCCGGCTGCTCTGAAACGAGGGGGGGGGGGGAATGGGACCTTGCGTGCCTCACCATGCACACAAGAAAAAATCCTTAAATTTAAACTTCAACAATATTTTTACTTTTCCGTATACGTACGTATGTACGGAGAAATATAAGTACTACAGGGAATGTTATGTAATGATGCGGAAAATCAATTTCGAGATTTCAACGTAAATATATATTTTGGGGCCCCTTGATACCGAAAAAGTTATTTTCTTTCAAACGTACGTCCATCCGTCTGTACATTTGTGAACACCACTAGCGCCTAAACCATACGTCACATGTTTTCCAAAATGGATATACACTGGTCGATCTAGTTCGACTCAAGGCACTACGACTTTGTAAAACGGTCATCAAAATTTCGGGGTACTTTACATGAAGCCCCCCCCCCCGGTCCTTTTAAAAATTTCCTCAAAAACTTTCTTGCAAAAATGGAGTAAAATACATTTATAAAGGTGGCATAAATCCAATTTTCACGGGTAACTCTGAATTTTCTAACTAAGAATAATAAATTTTTTAACTAAGAATAATAAATGCATTCTTCTAGGAGCTTATAATCATATGAGAGAACTTTAAAACTCTCAAACTAATTGAATGAACAAGAATTTATAATATACATGTACATACAATATAACTGATAAATGCATAAACATATGTTTAATTTATGTGAATGTACACTATGTGTGCATTATAAATATATACAATACATACATATGCATGCATATCAAATTAATCTTTCAACTCAAATGTGTTAATACACATAACACAGAAAAATAAAATAAAAATCCAGAAGGTAAGTCATTTAAAAGACAACTGAGAAAAGAGTCCATTATTCTTCAGAAGTAAATTTCAAGGGCCATTCTACAGCTTTACACTGTATTAATAAAAATGTGATTATGTTTGGCTAAAAAATACTTTTAGTTTCCTAGAGTTTTTATAGTTTTCTGGTAGTAAAGGAGAAGATGCCAGATACTACAGATTAGAACATAGACATCAAAACTCCAAAATTAAAGAATGTGTAAAATATCATTGATCATTTTTTGGCCATCACACTTTATTTCAAGTGCTCAGTGGCTGTGACATGGGTTAATGCTCTTTAGTCACTCTAAAAATCTTATATTTTTAAAATTTAAATATAAGGATGGGAGAGATCAAAAACATTACACTCTTGCCAAAATAACCAACATTCAACAGCACAGTATTGCTAGTTGTGATTAAATGTAATATTCTTTGACAAAACTTACAATACCATGTTTGCAAGATTACTTTTATCCTATAGTATCTCAAACAAAGTAATCTATAATATATCTTTACAGTGTTGCTATACATTTTTAAAGAAGAGTTAATTTCGGGTAGAAAAGAAACATGCAACTACACATTATTATCTAGTAAATTGACAGAAAATTGCATCAAACTAAATACTCTAGAGAGTACTTGATTATATGAAGTACAATTCCCACCCCCTAATTTTATGAAAGTCACTAATGACAGAATGGTTTGAGAGAGTATTATTTAAAAAAATCATTTTTACAAATGTTATATTAGTATGATCTTTGTCATTTTAACAAAAATATGTGTTTGGTGTCAAAAAATTCCATCTTGTTTAAAAAATACAAGTCTTGTTATTAAGTGTTGTAAGCACGATTTATGGAAACCTTTCGAACAACGATTGTTCATATTCATGTAACATATTCAAATTTTCCTACTTTCAAAATATTAAGACCATCCTTAACTACCAGTCTCAAATCTCCACTCCTCTTTTTATATTGAAGTTAACTTTCAACACTACATCTAGCATTTTCACTAACACTTGAGGTTTCTTGCCAATATGATTTAGTAATACTTAACTACCTCTCATAATCAGTTTTGGTTCAGGGAATGTAAACAAGTTTTAAGAGTTACAGAGTTTGCAAATTATTTCTGAACACCCTCCGCGATGTCATAACATTAATGATACTGAAATTTTAGAATAAAAGCATTATGAACTAATGCTTATCTAAGCAGTTTTAAACTTTGAAGGTTTAACCTAGTAATGAAAAATATTAATATCAGTATGATCACTTTTAATTTATTTTATTTACCTTACAGTAAGACATGAAAGGTAATGCATAATAAACACCAAAGCTCTTGATTAAGATAATAAGAGTATCTCAATAATGACATTAACTAAGTACTGATACAACTCTGTAGACAGAAAAGAAAAATAAGGGGAATGTCACTTCAATTAATGTTTTAAGAATAATTAATTGTAGATTTTACTTTCTCACAAGCTACTCACATAGCATAGAGAAATTAGTGTAATGCTGCAGCAAAAATGGTGATTTTTAAACATAAAAACTCATTTGGTGGATCCTTGATACCAAAAAGGAAATAAATATGGTTTACATAGAAAATAAAAAGTTCCAAAATATATTTTTTTTAGTTAAAAATGGCTATTTAATGTCATAAGTCACCCAAAAATGCAATAATGTTATAGGCCTCTATTTGCACTTTGTATGAATGACTACTTTACATTTCTTAATTTTTCCTAATGTTACTGCTGAATGACCTAAAAGAAATATTGTTTCAAATTAATCCTACTATAATTAATCCTTTCATAATAAAATGGAAAAATTCAATTAATGATAAGAGGTAGCTCACCAAAAAAAGGTAATATCGCTAACTATTGATTTCAATGTTAAATTGAAAAGACTTAAATTTTGAATTGAAAATTATTGAGAAGACTTTCTATAATAATATGTAACATTAGTAGGTGTGGATTTTGATGACCTAGAACATTGTCAAAAATGATCCATAAAATTATCTTAAAATGTGTTTAAAAGTCCCTAAACACAAAGAAAAAGGACAAAAAAATTTGATCACAACCAATTCAGATGAACTATGCAAGCTGTTGGATGTTAACTGTTGTAATTGAGGCTTCTTCCTTGCGTTCAAGTGAACTCGGAAAGTGTTGGTTTGGACCGTTCTACCAAGAAATCCATCTTAAGTTATCACGAAATTGGCCAAACTGAGAACAGTGCTGATAGGTGTCACAGGAATCTTAGAGTTCATACACGAGTGAAGAAATGGAATAATCTACTCAGGAATTCTGTGGAGAACATTTATTCGGTCTCATAAACATTATTTCAAGCAAATACCATTTCAATGATATTAAAATCAATTAAATTGGCATAAAATGTTTTAAAAATGATGCAAAAAAGGTTAAAATAAAACAACACCTATAAGTCAAAATCGAAGAAAAATGCAAAAAATTGACTCAATAATGGGTTATTTTATTTTGTTACAATATAAAATTTATGTCTATTATAAAAGGCATTATTGTGAAGTGAATAAAAAGAGAATGACTTTTCATTAAAATCAGCCCCCCAATTAGTGTGTGTAGTATTGCTTATATACTTCACATTTCTTCTAAAATGAACTTTTAATCTACTTTTGAATTTATTTTTGTGTTTTTTTATTATCTGATGTTAATTTTTAGTGGATCCCTACTCTGTTATTATCCTTGATAATAGCAGTTAGTGTGTGAATGTATACATATATATAAACATTAAATTATTTTGATAGACCATTAAAACACATCTGAGATTATACTATTTCGAACATTCAATTCTATAGGTTATTTCAGGACACATTAGGAAAAGTAAAATGGAGAGGCAATAGAATAAATAAATAAATAAATAAATACAGGACCAACTTGTTAAAGTTTATCTTTGGGAAAGATTTATTTGGTGTTCAAAGGAACAAACCCTTTCTTCATAAAATGTACACACAATGTTTTTTTAATTGAGCCAAGATTTTCATGAGAGTGATATATATATATTAAAATTATATAACTTTTAAGTTCTCACAAATCTGAGAAACAACAAAACTATAATCAGTGCGAAACTCAGAAGAGTGTGCAAAATTCCTTGCAAGAAAACATCTTGTTTCGTATTAGTGACTAACAATCCAATATTTTAAGTGCTACAATGGGCATAAATACATGTAAACAGCATGAAGTTATTCAAAGGGTCTTTCAAATTTCTGCATGTTACAGTCTTGCACAAATCCTCTTAAACTGGTCTTTTCTAATTCTGTTCCAATGTACAATAGTTTATCATATCAATTGTGTGTAGCAGAACTAGAAAAGAAATTATCAGTATAAAAGATTTTGTTCAACAAGACTATTGAGATATTTTCAATGAAAATTTTGCGTAATTCCAAAAACTAGTTTTCATTTGTATTATTTTACTAATATTTTTAAGTTACAAACAATACAATTGCACTTCATTGAGAAAGTCTCTCTGAGTAATTTCATTTGCACTATATAATACTGCCCACAGTCAGAAGTGAATACATTCTTGAAAGATTCATACTTCTTAATTTAAAGATAAAATAGTTCACAACAAAAACTGGGGAAATAAACCTTATTAAAACTCTTCTCTATGTACAAAGCAAAATGCCTTAAATTAATAATAATATTCACAGAAACTCATATTACATATTCCAAATTGTAATATAAATATATACACACACTCACACAAGTTCACACAAAATAAAAGCCTCTTAATACAAAAACCTGCATTTCACTGAGGTAACACCAACTAGAATATATCAAAAGATTGTCTTTAAGACAGAAAAGAACAAATGTGCCCTTTTAACTAATAGCAGGTTTGAAATGGGTACAATTTCAAATTACATCCCATTTTCGTAACTATTCATATATCTTTAATGATTTAGATTAAAGTTTTTAAACAGACAATATGTAAAAGAAGATGTAGATACTACTGTCTTTATTGAGAAAAATTTGTTCTGATTCATTGGTAATATGTGCTCTTCATTTCAGTTTACTATTTCATCTCAACAACTGGTTTCCATTGAAGAAATTGCCACAATCACATTATGTTTGAAATATTTCAGCCACAGATTTTCACACAAGTGAAATAGTATTCACACAATCAACAAAAATAAATACATGGAGATTACAAATCAAAAACAATTTCTCATACTACATTACATTGAAGGATTTAAATGTAAATCAGTACAACCCCATTGAAGATGGCAAAAAAGTGTAAAAGGTACATACACACCAATGTACATGAAAGTTGTTTTTGAATTAACTTTGAGCACAATTTTGAACTTACAATAAATGTTCAACAAAACCTTCATAGTGCATTTGCAAGCATTTTCACTTAAACAAAAATACTAACTCATAACTTTAATATTTCTATAATAAATTATTACATAAACAAAACATAAGTAGGAAAGTGATTCCCAAGTAATAATAAGTATAACTTTTCTGCCATATATTCATATCACCCAAGTATATGAAGAAATGAATAAAAAAGATAATGCATCCCAATATTCAGGAATCTTTCATTTGGGAGCCTTTTATGTGTCTTAAAATGATCATGAATATTATATCCAGAGTAAATAGGTCACTTACACAGATAGCAAACTTGAGTTTGAATATTATTGCCTACTATTTACATAATATTGTAATTGAAATCTTATATTACATGGAATGTAATTCAAAGAACTCAAAAGAATTGCAAGTTCTGCTTTTTAAAACCATGAGGATTAAAACCATAATCCTGGTAAACTTGATATTCGGTAACTAACATGAAGACTGATTTCTGCTGAAGACCATAAAAGAAATTAATAAATGATTACAAGAAAAAGTTAAAAAAAACTAAGTCCCAAACTAATTACACAACTGAAATTGCGATTGAAAGTAATCTGTCCAATAAAAGCCAAATTTAAATACAAATTTATTGTTGCATTTGAATCAGGCTGGCATTAACAAAACAAAACTTTTTTCATAAAAATATATTTATCACACTTCATTTATTAACAATTTATTATGCAGGCAGCTGCCAACCTTAAATATTTTAATAAGATATAAATATTTACACAATATATTGGCATTATCACCAACAATAGACAAACTAATATGTCAATAATAATACACACGTCTTTGGTTTTTGCTGTAATTGTAAGTGTACAGTCAGGAATACATGTGATCTGTTACTGACCACACCTAGGTTGGCAACTTGGTTTGGTAATGTAGAAGATCTCTTTAGAAATTTCTTTTTGTGCAAGCACCGGCACTGAAGTTTCCATGAATGATCTGCAGTACTGAGAATAGTACTGAAGAATCACTGATATTGTCAGTGAATATGGGTAGCACTGACTTAATCTAATGAATTCTGATTGTATAAATAGGTAAACTCTGAGAAAAATACAAGTGTTCTTGACTGTGGTTTTGGTAATCATAATATGCACTAGATACACTATCTATAGATCATGAAAGATTCATTACCACCTGATACTAATAAAACTACAGTATTTACAAGAACATGAGAAGTAGAATATGATAAAACTCATAGTTAAGAAGAATAATCCTGTTCATTATTTAAGTTCAAATATAATGTGGACTAAATGTGAAGTAGGTTTAAGCAAACAGGATTTTTTTTCTTCCAAATGTTAATCACTTCATACATGAACAATAAAGAAATTTACTCCTATAACTAGAGTAGAATAATTTGGTAACACAACCATGATATGTATCAAGAATGTGGGTCACACAAATTCACACAAAATGCAGCTTTGTGCAGCAAAAACACACACTCACACATGCATTCACTATATTACGGTAGTATGCCTACGAAGACATATTACAAAACAAATCATTTATAATTTTGATTTGAACATTAAATTTCTCTCTAATAGGGTAATAAAAGATCATTTTATTCTGACTACTTACTTCATAATTATTGCAGTTCTTTGTGTTCGCCCTGAGGAAGATTCATTTCCTCCTAATTCTGCCCAACTTGCCGCACAGTGCAAGAAGGCTGACTAGGGTGGTCACTCTATATTTCTTTTACGAGTTACTTCAGTGAATAACACCCTTTTGTTTTCATCGTATAATGAGATATATTTCCTCTCAGTTGAATAAGAGAACCTTAAAGATGATTTGTGGAGACATTTCCAGTTGTAGAGGGGCTTCAGATGAAGTACAATTATTTTTGTATTTAACCTCACAGAATAATTGACTTACTTTGACTAAGTATATATGTACATTTTATTGGCTTTGCAATTATGTTAAGTGACTGACTTTTCTCAGACCGTCCAGGGCTGCAATTATGTCAGTCGGTAATTGAGAAATTCATTTCTTCAATATTAATATTAACTGTTATATTTATACATGCAATTAACTCTTTAACGCATGACTCCTTGAATATGTGAGATTCTGCACTCTTTCAAACTGTTGACTGAGTATGTTTTGCAAGCAGAAACAAATTTGCATGGCAGATTGCAACACGAGTGAGGGGCAACATTAATTGTTCATTTTGACAGTATCTTCTGATTCCTAAAACAATGCATGTATTGCAGTTAAAACCAGAAAAAAACCAGAAATTAATTCTCAACTTATTCTTGGCTACCATTTTTTACACCTAGCAGTTTAGCAGCATCATCTGCTGATTTGGATTGTAACATTTTGTCAATGATAGACTTATCTTGAATACCAAGGAGGTTACCTATCAAGTCCGTCTCCTCTTCGTTATTTGTGCCATCCACAAGAAGGCGATGTGCTGCTTTTGTCATAGCAGAACTGGGTATTATGTTATTATTATTATGATTGACAGCAGCAAAACCAGATGACGAGGGTGGTGAGGACTGAGGAAGTTCAGAGGCTTCTTCGTCTCCACTCACAGTTGATACTCCATCTTCAGTTTGTGTATTGGCTGTGCCTATTGCAGGAATTGCTAGAGAACCACCTGCAGCATGTTTCTTTCTATGGCGCAGCATGCTGTGCTTCAGAGTGAACCTCCGACGGCATATATCACAAGAAAAGGGTCGCTCCCCAGTATGTGTGCGCATATGACGGCGCAAATCTTCTGCTGACCAGAAACGTCGCATGCAGAATGCACACATGACCTGTAAGAAAAAATAATCTATTTAATAAATACAAATTTTATTTTTTCTACAAGTTTTATAACAATCAAGTCAAGAATCTCAGGGTCCAAGCTTCATAACAAAAATTACAAATTTGAATATTTGTTTTTCCCTCTATAATTTTTTGTGGAAAATAAAGATTTTCAAAAATTTCCTGTGATGTTTGGCCACATTCATGATTCACTGAGAATGAGAACTCTTCTTATTTGAAAAGTTTCTGAGTAGATACATTGCAAAGTAATTTATAGGACTAACGATGTGTGTATACCATAATAATACAGTTGGAGGGAAAAAATACAGATAGACTAATTGATTTCTAAAAAGATTGTCAAAAATGTTACTGGGAGGTTTAATTATTTTGAAGTTCAGGTGTCCAAAGGATTTACTTATGGAAAGACTCATTTGAGAATTTTAAGACTAAAAGATAGATTTTTACTGGCATACACAGAAATGTTTCATTAATTTTTCAAATATTCTTTGTCTGCCCCTTCCATCAATTTAATGAATATGTCTTCTCTTTTAACTTTTACTTCCTAAGTCATAAAGTGTGCCCAAAATAGTAGCCAGTAAATGTTAATCAACTTTCAAAGTAAACACAAATTATTAATTAGTAATATTATTGATTTTTCAAATTGTTAATGTCTATTTGTGGATTTGGGTTTCTTTTTCCTCAAAAATACTCAAAGTTGTTGAAATATTCTTACTCTCATATCATTTGCGAGCTAACTTAAAAAAAAAACAAAAAAAGAAAACCAGAAACGCGCGCTTCTTTTTGTCATTTATGAGAGTGACTAAATTGTGATTTTACATGCTTAATCAATTCAACATTCTTACCTTTCGATTGGCATAGTCTGGGAATCTTCCACGAAGCTGCTCAATGTTTTCATCAGCTGTTGGGCTATTTTCTTCATGGTTTTGATTTCCCGAAGATGAAGTTGAGTGTTGAGAATGAGCATTGTCTTCAGCTGCCGTGTCCAAAGCACCTTTGGACATCAGAAGCTCAAACTCTGCTGGATGTACATCTCTGATGTGGTCCAAAGCATCTTGACGCTCGGCGTAACCCCCATCGCAGAGATGACACTTAAAAGGCAGCTCAGAGGATGCACTCCCACTACTCGAGGCGCTACCACTGACAGCAGGCTGGGTGCTTACACAGTCTCGAGCAGGAGTAGCAGGTAAGGGTGCTGGGGGTGGCGGTGGTGGAGGTAGCGGTAAGTTGTGAGGAGTATCATTAGTTTCTACAGGACGGCGTTCTGATTCTCCATCTTCACTGCCACTCCCACAATGACTTTCCTCATAGTGACTGCTGGCCCCGCTTGGACCACTGGCATCAGAACCAGGACCTGGGAGTGGGAGAGGCTGCTGTAGAGGACTGGTGGGAGGAGAACTGCTGCTGCTGCTATTGCTATGCTTCGAAGCCACATGTTTCCTCAGGTTACTCAAGGTAGCAAAGGTAGAACTAGGACAGTAATTGCACTTGTAAGGTCTCTCAGGAACATTCCTCATTGTGTAATTGTTACTAGCATTTGCTGTTGCAGAGGCACTGGTACTAGAAAGGGATCCTGGAGAAGTTTCATTTCCACTTCCACTGCTACTTGTGCCACTGTTGTTGGTACTATTGTTGGTATTACTGCTAGAATTGTTTGCAGTATTACTATTGCTGTTAATATTGTTGTTGTTGCTATTGTTATTGTTATTATTATTATTATTATTGCTGTGTTTTCGTAATAGATGACGGTCACAATTGCTTTTGGTGGTGAAAAGAAGAGGACAATGAGGACACTTGAAAGGCTTCTGGCCAGTGTGAGTGAGAACATGTCTTCTTAATGATGATGACCAAGGAAATTTTCGGTAACAGAAAGGGCAAGAGACACGGTTGGGTGCCAAGGAATAAGCACTCTTCTTTTTCCCAGGAGCTGGGGCAGCTTCTGATTCAGACCTGCAAAAAGGAAGAAATCAATTTTAGAGACCAAAAGTAAAAAGCAACTAAAATTAGAAAGTTGCCAAATTAATTTTGAAAGAATTAATTACATTAATTTTTCTCTATGTAGAAAAAACTGGTGTAAATTTTGGGTTACCCTCTCACTAATTTAGAAAATTAAGAAAACAAAATTAAAAGGACATTGACAAAACATGCATTTACAAAGTTTTCGTCCTCCTTCAGTCTTAAAGTAATTGAATTGTGCCATATGCAAATTTACCTATTTATACATTCTTTTTGACTGTGAAACCCAGAAGTCGAAAATCAAGACTTACTTGTTCTCATCACTGCCAGAGTTGTTTCCCTCACTGTTACTGCCAGCAACCAGACCTTCTTCATCCTCTTCACTTCCTTCTTCACGTCCAAATTCCTCCGCATCCTGTGTTCCCCGGAAGTACCGTTGAAATGCCTGAGTTTGGGTGGAGGCATTGTCCAAAAGGCGTGAAACGCTGGCGAGATCTGCACTGCCTCCTTCCAAGATGTCCTTGCGCTCCGGTTGTGGTTGAGGGCGAGCTGCAGAAGAGGCAGTCTTAGCAGACACAACAGGAGCAATAGTTGGAGCAGAAGTTGTGACAGATGTCACTGCAGAAGTTGCAGTGGGAGAAGAAGTGGAGGAGGAAGAAGAAGAAACAGCAGCGACTAAAGGGGAAGAAGAAACAGGGGCAGCAGCTGAATCTTCTTCAGCAGCTTTCTCCTCATCGATTACCAACTCACCATCACCATCTTCCTCTTCAACTGGCTCAGGAGATGTTGTGCCCAATTTGGATTTCAGTTGTTGCGCAATGAGATGTCTCACTTCATCCGAGGTGAATTTGTTGTTGTTGTCTTCTTCTCCTTGGTCACCTTCCTTCTCAGGGGAAGAAATGTGAAGAGATGTATTTAAAATAGGAGGAGTAATAGGTTTCTTTTCATCGACCGGTTCAATTTTGGGCTGTGGAACAGGCAGAGAAGGATGCTGAGGCAGTGGTGGAATAGGAACGTTGACCGTTGGCCGTCGACCAGGTCCATTCACAACTGCTGTGGCTCCGCGTTGGCGCTGGCTCCAAAATTGGGGATGCTGCTGTTTAACGTGTCGTTCCATGTTTGAACGTAGAGTGAATCTAGCAGAACAGTGTTCGCAAGCAAAGGGTCTCTCTGTGCGATACCGACGTTGTTTCTGTTTTGGCATTAACACTCCATTCTTGATAACCATTTTTACAGCACCTGGAGCATCACGTTCACGTCCAGATTTGATGGAATTGTTATTGTTACTATTGACATTGTTATTGTTGTGCAAAACAGATGGAGGCAGTGGTTTCACCAATGGTTTCATTTCAGCAACTGGTTCCTTGATGTCTATCTTTAATGGGTCCTTGTTCCTTGCCGAGTCAGCAATCACCTGGAAAACACAAGAATATAAGCATATATTTTCAAAGCGCAACAAAATAAATTTTTTAGGTCAGTTGAAAGGACACAAAATGTAAAGTAGTAAAATATGTGAAATATAAATGAGTAAAATGCGTAAGCAAATGATTATACACAGCACAAATAAGAAAATTAAATACATGAAAAGGTCAATATTTAATAATGCTAATAACATATTTACAATTCCAGCTACTGGCAGATAAGGATGTATACTACAATCAAGTGCAATTTACACAATGTGAAATAGCAATTTATTTGCAGCCACCACTAGTCAACTGGACAAACAAGAATACTAACATACAAGAACCTTCTACCGCCTCAGTGTGTCCCAGTGCACCAGTCCGCACCGTGGCCCGACAGTCGGTCACCACCGAGTGACAAGAATCGTAGAAGAGGAAGAGAGAGAGCAGGGCGCGAAGGGCGCGGGGGTCACTTGCCTGGTTGTGGAGGGCGCGCAGCTGGTCCGCGGCGCCGCGGTGGTCCAGCAGCGAGCCGCCCGACGTCAGCTGCAGGCCGCGAATGAGCTCCTTCTGCAGGCGCTCCTTCATGTCGGCGATCTCCTGCGGGTTCGCTGTCGGGTACATGTTCTGCGGGACGGCGGGGAGGAAGAACGGGAGGGGCTGAAAGGAGCCGATCGCCTGCCCGGCGCCGAACGGCAAGCCGTTGTTGTTGAGGCTGAAAAGCGGCCCTAGGTGGCGGCTAGCGTACAGGTTGGCTGCGCTCACCTCCATCTTGGGAACGACGCCTGGGCCCGCGCCCGCAGCGGCGCCGAACAGCGGTGACGCGGCGCCGCGCAGCGCTGGGGGCGGCGGGGGCGGCGGCGGGGACGAGTCGCACTTGCGCGCCGCCGCGAACGCCGAGGCCACTATCAGGGGGTTATTGTTGTTGAATTCGAGTTTCTTCTTGGACAAGTCCTGCGGCACGGAGTCCTCGTCCAAGTCATTGGTCTCATCTTTGGTAGCGGATTCGAGGACCGACTCTCGCTTCTTGCGGAGGTCGAGAGCATCCATGCTCAGATCCAAGGGGGAATTGGCTTCGCGCTCGTACTCGAGAGCGTGGTCCTCTAATCTTTGGTCTTCAGCGGGGACAGGAGATATTTTGGTAAACGGCTTATTGTTTTTGGTAAAACTGACTAGCTTTTCGATGTTCGTTCTCTTGAGGGCCTCGTCGTTGTCCGTGTTGTCGTCGCCGCTGAGGTCGGAGACGCAGCCCACGACGGCGAGCGGCGGCGGCGGCGGCGGCAGCGCCCGAGGGACGGGGGGAGTCCTCGGGGCCGATTGTTTGGGCTCCCAGGGGGCGCGCGGGCGGGCGGCGGGCGACGCAGATGCCCGTCCGCTGTCTGCCGCGACGCCGGCCGGCGTCCTCGGGGCCGAACACCAGCGCCCGCTTGGCGGCGGGGCGGCGCGGGGCGAGGCCGCGGGCAGGGAGCCCTTCGGCGACGACGAATGTACCCCGGGCTCGTTTGGTGGGGTCTATCGGACGGAATGGTAGTATGGACTTTTCACCTTCCTCGCGCGTCAGCTTGGAGCTGGCGTTCCGCAGGTGGCGCTCGCCCAGTTGGCCTGTGGTGGTGAAGCGTAGTTGCACAGGCGGCGCATCGTTGGCCGGTCCCGTTCGTGCGTGCGAAGTGCCGCACCAGCACCGGTCTTGTTCGCTGGTTGCAGCGAACGGGCACCATGTTTGCAGCGAACGGGCCCGCGCCGCCGCTCAAGGTGCGTGCGGTTGTGGCCCTTGAGGGCGGGCAGGTTGGGGAACACGGCCGTGCAGAGACAGGCGGCTACGGGAACTCGCCTTCAGCTTCATGCGGCGGAACTCGCCGCCGAAAGTCGTTCCATGTTGCTCTTCCTCGCCGCCCGCGCCCGCGCCCCAGGCGCCCGCGCGCGCCGCCGCCCGACAGGTTCCTGCATCGCATCCCGCCCCGAAGCTGGCGGTCACGGAGATGATGGCTCTGGACATGTCCGCAGAGGTCGCCGCCGGCGGCGGGGGCGGCCCGGCACCAGTGGTTGAAGTACAGGCGCTGTTCTCGAAGCGCCTCCTCGGCGTCGGCTGAAGGTGGTCTGGTCTATAGTCTGGAGACGCAAGGCGCGCCTTCGACTTGTTGCGCAAGTCCAAACCCGGCGAAGAATCGGTCGCGCTTGGCGCTCCTCCAGCTCTTCCTCGGAGCCTCGTCCGCGCCCTGGGCTTGGTGAGGTCGTGGGGCAGCGTCGGGGCGGCGGGCGGCGCAGGCGGGTCGGGCGGCGGAAGCGGCCGCGGCAGGCCGCGGCCGTGCGGCGGCGGCGGCGCGGAGGCAAGAGGCGAGCATCGGCCGGCCCGCCGGCCATGCCGGGCGGGGACGCCGGCACGCCGTTCGTGGATGTCGAGCGACGCTGCCGGCCGGGAAGGCGCGCCCGCACCCGTCGCACTTGGGAAGCGGTGGTACACGCCTGCGTGGGGCGGTGCAGGCTCTTCTCGCACACGGCCCCGCGCGATTGTGCGGGGAACTTCGCTCTCGTGAAGCGCACGAAGGTGAGGTCTTGAAAGCGATGAACGGCGCGCGACCGCCGGTGACGTGGCCGTTCGCGGTGCAGCACCGTGAAGCGGTGGATGTTGTGGGGCGCGCCGGGTTTGCTTGAAGGCGGCGTTCGCACACCTGGCCCAGCCGCACCAGTCGCCCGCCGCCGCCGCTGGAGGCCGGGCGCGACGTGGCGGCGGCGGGGGACGGCGGCGGGCGCGCACTCGCCCATAGTGCGCGTCGAAGCGCGTGCCCAGCGACGGCGCCTCGGGCCGCAGCGCGGGCAGCGGCAGCCGCTGCGCGTCCGAGGCGCTCAGTCCGCGGCCCCGGCCGAGCTGCGGCGGCACGCGGCCGGGCCGCTCCGGAGATACCGTCGGTCGGCGTGCCGTCTCCCGGCGCCTTGCGCTTGCCGGCCTCGGGTCGCTGGCGGGGCTGACAGACGCGCGGCGACTCGGCGCCGCTGCCCGCTGCCGCTGTCCGCCGGGGCGGACATCTTGCGCTTCTTGGGCAGGCGACGGGGCTGGCGGCGGGCTGCCTGCCGCGGCCGAGGCGATCGCGCCGCTGTCCGAGCTGCCGCCGCAGCCGCCCCGCCCGTGTCGCTGTCCCTCGGCGAGCGCCCCGTGCGTGCGCATGTGGCGGTGCATTGTTGCGCCGTTGGTGTGTGACAGGGAACAAAGCCGCACACGCGGGCCGGAACGGCGCTCGCCCAGAGTGCCACCAGAACGTTGGCCTCGGGGACGGCCGCCGGAGCTCAGCACTTTGCCGCCATTCGCGGCCAGCCGAAGCCTAGTTGCCCGAGCGCCGCCGGCCGGCGGACTGCGGCCGCCCCGTCTGGCTCGTCGGTCGTCGTCGTCGTCCTCGTCTCGGAGGCGGTTTTCCTCTTTTTTTGCTCTTAGAGGCGACTCCTCGCCGTCGCCGCGCGCCAGCCCGGAGTCGTTGGCCGGCGGGTTGGGGAACTGGGGGCGCCCCCCGCGTCCTGAAGCCCGCGGGCGATGGCGGCCGGTTGCAGTGGCGGGGACGCCGCGCTCCTCTGGGCGACGGCCGCTGCAGGTTCCCCCGCGGCCGGCGCCGGAGCGCGGTCGCGGCGGGCGGCAGGCGGCGGGGGCCTCGGGTCGGGACTTCGGCACCACCTGCTCCTCAGGCGCGAGCCGCCGTCGCCTGTCGCGGCCCGGCGCCGTGGCGCGCACCTCCGTCCTCGAGGCTTCCTGAGTGCGCCCCATAACGGTCGCACTTAGCGTTGGCAGGATGGAGTCCACTGGAGGAGAATCTACGCGAAAAAATACACGAGTCAGATCCCGCCTCGGGTTCATTCCACAAACAATAAATACCTTCGAAAAGCTTCTAAACATGCGATGTATGTGTGGTTAGTCATCCGATCGTACCTCCCCATTCCGGAGCATTTTCCGTTCCCTGCCTCCGATCGTCGATGGGGGGCGTGTCCGTCGAAAGCGAAGGGAACCGGAATCCGTCGATGGATTCTCTCCCTCGAGAGGCGGAGGCACGCGACAGTAGGGGCACAATGTGTTCCTCGCATTGCAGAGGGCGGCGGAGATCACCTCGCATGGAAACGAATGGGGCCGGCGGAAACGCAGATATACCCAAAGCAGTTGCGAGAAGAGAGAGAGAGAGGAGAATGACACGGAGAGGGAGAGAGACGCCGCGCGAGGTCATGAGCAACCGCGCGCGAGCGGTGCGTAAGCTCCCGAGTCCGCGAACGGAAGACTGCGCGGCGGTTCAGCGGGCGACGCGGCGTCGGCGTCGGCGTCCGGCTGGCTGGTGAAGGAAGCTGGACACATCCTGCGGTGGGGGAAATCACGAAGCGCTATCTGACGCAAGGACCGTGCAGGGGATGCGCGTGAGTGCACAGTTCCTCTCTGGCCGCGTCCCGCGAGCTCGCTTTCGGAGCGGCGCGGAGCGCGGCGACGGCGCGCGCGGACGCGGCGCGGCGCGGCAGCGAGGCGCACAGCGGAGAGGGGCGGCAAGCGGCGGATTATGCTTGTTTGTTGTTTTCGGCGGAAGGGCGGCGTCTTGTGGTCACGATACTCTGCCAGAGCGCACACAGAGGCTATACTTCGCCGCTTGACGATGGCGGAAAGTCCGCTCATCCTTCCTGAGAGAGGCGGCCGGAATGGGTGAGCAACTTTCCATGTAAAGAGGCATGGCGCACGCCGCCGTATGCCCGCGGCCCTTGCCTCCCTTTTCGTCGTTATCCGTCATTCCGCTCTTCTCCGAAGCGGGACGCGCGACAGTAGAAAAGGATGAATCCCGCATCTGACATGCAAAATACGCCGCGGTCAACGCGCTGTTGCAAATATTTAACAGAGCCTGAGAGGCATGTATCCTCTCGGGTTTTTCATGTTGGTTAAACGCACGTGTAGTCTTTAAGATGCGAGATACACCAAACGTTACATAATTCCTTTTCACAGGTCCGTTTGTAATAGTTTGTTTACTCGCTAGTCGTTATAGGTAACATCTGGAAATCGATTGCGTATTATTCTAACAGTGTACATTGCTTTTTTTTTTTGTGTTTAAAAAAAAAACCCAATTTTTTTTGTACATCTTTCAAGGCGAGAAATCGAGTAAAGGTGAGATGAAAGGGGAAGTCCGAATTCAAAACGGCGCTCCGCGAGTGCGGTGGACGCCTTCCTGTTTGTCGGTGGCTACGGGCGAGGTAACGGAGCCGAGATGGGTCAGCCAGAACCATCGGAAGGAAGATGCACGCTTGCCTATCGGTCGAACCAGGGGTCCCGCGCGGCGCTTCCCCTTGCGGTGAGATGAAGAGGGAGGGGCCGGCGCCACGCCGCGCAGGCTGAAGGTGGAGTAGGGGGGGGGTGCGCAAGGTTGCCCCCGATCGATCGCCGCGTCTGCGGCGCCCCGCGCCGGCAACCAACGCCCACCTTGCGCAACGAAATCGCGCTCCGCCCACGCGATGGTCGGGACGCAACGGGCGGGGATTGCCTTCACCAGTAAAGAAGAAAGTGACTAAACGCCAACTCTTGTAATATAAATATAGTAAATTTTTGAGGGTGTAAAATTTGTTGTTGTTATTATTTTATTATTATTTAACAAATATTCATCACAAGTTCAACAGGCGGATTTTATTCTCATGTTTAGGTGGCAATTTTTGCAGTTTAAAAGATTCACCGTTTGCTCAAATTCGACAGAAGATCAAATTTTTACACAGTATTTCTAAGCATATTTCACCAGAATAACAATGCCATGTATATGTTTGGTGAAGGAATTCGCACCGCAATCCGCGAAAATGGGATTAAAACACGACCTCTAAATGTTGTTCTTGAAAAACTGAAACATTTAGTGTTTATATTCTTTTACTATGAGTGTTTCGATATCGTTGTAGCCGGGGGCCGGAGATGTGATTGAATGTTGCTGAATTGTTGCCATATCTTGCATAATTGCCTACATAACGTCTTCTCTTACAGACGACGAAAAGACGGGTCTACACGGCCACGCAGGGCTGCAGGTCCAGCATCGCCTTAGTTTCACGTCCTGCAACAGCCGAGCGAGGAAAAGAGCAGTCAGTAGATGCAACATGCGAATATTTAGGCGCTTGGCTGAACTTCGATTCCAGGACGACTCAGGAAGAGAAAAAAGGGAATACAGACAAAAGAATAAGAAAAAAAATCAAGCGGCGGAAACATACAAGAAGAAAACAAGATCTCCTCAAGTTGCTTGTTTAAGAAATCCTCAGTGTCACGGCCAGCCCCATGTGAGTCGGCGTGATGACTCCTCGTCGACTTCGTTGACGCACATCTCCGCGTTGCGGGTGGTAACATTTCCTCGCGCGGCGAGGCGGGGGTCAGCGGCGGAGTCGGATCGGCGAGCGCCGGTTCGCGAACACTCATCGGCATCATCATCTCTGGCGCGAGCCACGCGCGCGCGGGGGCTGTCGCAAGCGGGCTAAGGACCTCGCGCGGCGACGCTCGCCGCCGCCGTACGCGCCCGCCGCCAGACGGACGAGAGCGAACGGCGCGATGGTCGGGGCGCAAACGCGGACGGGACGGCGGCCGTGGGGCGCGCGAAGCTGGAGGTCGCCCCGGAAGTGACAACACAAGCGGGAGCGGGGGCGGGAGGCGGCGCGCGCGGCGAGGCGTGGGCGGCCGCGGCGCCGCCGCGCAGGCCTGCTGCCTCGTCGCGTCGCCCCACCCCCGCTGCCCCTCCAAAACCGC